ACCGCCTTCCCTAGCATCAGCTATGTAGCGGATCTAGACGCCGGGAATTTACTAAAACTGGTGAGAAAAGCTGGCCTAGAATTATAGGGATCAGAAGGACAACGGAGCCACAATAGCCCAGTAGGGGTTCGGTGACAAGAGGGCAGCAAATGCCTATCCGTATCTTTAACCATCTTTAACCATAAGGTGAGCAGGAGCTCTGAAAAATTTGGGAATTAGATGGAGCAACTATACTTTCTAATTTCCGAAATTTTTTCGATCTTCCGAACAATTTGGGTCTTCAAAGATCTTTGGACTAAATTTTTTTCCATAATCCTTACAAGATGTTTTCCTCACCATCATTTACGTTTTAAATTTTAACTTTAGCGGATGCCCAGTAGTGGTTTAGCTAGTAGACGGTTGCAGGTTCGAGTCCCAGTTCGGTCGCGGTTTTTAAGCTTCTGGCAATCTAGCCTGAAAATTACAATCTGACGAATGTGAGGTTATAACTCGAGCATAGATAACGATTATAATCTTATGAATCAGATAATACTTTATGGTTAAGTGATAAACCAAATTTTTCAAAAATCAGCACATTCTACACACAAAAAAAAACTGTACTGAAAATATGAGATTTAGAACGTAATTTACATGATTTCTGAGCCCGTACATTACGACTTTGAAACCGTCAATTACGGGCTAAAAACACGTAAATTATGCCCAGAAGATCTTAAGTTACTGCTTTTGTACCGTAAATTATGATTATTATGTCGTAAATTATGAGGTCGATCCCCTAAATTACGATTCCGAACTCGTAAATTACGAGGACCCATATCGTGAATTACAAGATTCGACGTCGTGAATTAAGTGCTTGGTCCCATAATATACGATATTGTCCTGAAACCCTGCCGTAAACTACGATTCTAAATTTGTAAATCACGAAAATCCATGTTGTGAATTACAAGTTTTGTTGCGCATACGCTAATTTATTTTTCATCTCTGGTAATTATGATATTAATTATTTATATAAACTATACTTTAATGAAGACCGTTTTACTCACGATATTCCCTGTTTAATGCTGAGTTTTATAGCTGCCCTCAGTCCTGAAACATTCATATTGAGGCAATTAGTTTGTTGCTAATAAGATCGCATACTATTTCGTTACACGGAGAGAAGCATTTAGTAAAAATTACTGAACTTTTTGTTCGCTTACCGATTACGGAATCGCCTCGAAAAATTTAAGTGACGGTATCTTAATTTGTCACAGATACAATAATTCAGGTTCAAATTACGGAACGCGTCAATAACATTCCGTGACTTTAGATAAAAATGTCATGGGAGGTCCGTAAAGTTTCTTGCACCCACATTTTACTCCCGAATTACGAAAAAGACATGGAATTTTCATTGAATGCATTTCTCTCCGTGTACTCAGTAAGGGAAGGCCAAAATACTGAAAGTTAGAAAACAATGGATCAAAATGGAACACAGACCGACAATTGCCTTAACTATAATAACAATGCTTTTCGTCATGAATCCCTCGAAAATGAAATGGACAACGTTGAGATAGAGAAGGGAGACCTTAATATGAAAAAAAACCTGAATTGTGATCATTGCCAGTTGAGAAAAAAGAAACGCCGTGTCAGGCCATTAATGTGGCGTGAAAATTAGTTTGTTTATTGGTTGACGTCGTCAACTGAACCGGATGCTTTTGTTCTTTTTTTTTATTTTATAGTTAAGCGCCTTTTTCTGAGACTAAGTAAGATTTGAACAAACCGACGTCGGTAGCTCAGTGGCTAGGTGCGAGCCTAGTGTTCTGAAAGTTGTGAGTTCGATTCCCCGTTGAATCGAATTTTTCAACAGGCACCGATGAGCGTGAGGTTGCTAATAGAGCAACCGTCTGTACCGACATGGCTTTTTCTGTGGTTTCCCATGTTACTCCTATGTTCCATAGGAGAGTGAATACGGTACAGTGTAGGATCCACAGCCGCATGCATAGGGTGAGATCGGGCCAATTAGCCAGAACAGGGCAGAAAGGGCCGGGAAAAAAAAAAAAAAAAAATTTGAATAAAGCTTCGGGGAGACTCCTCTCACTAGCGAGTGTGGTTTGACTTGTTGCGGACACTGGGTTACTAAATGGGTCAAAATATCGAATAAAAGCCGGACCTTTGAGGCATATTGACTGTAACTAGTCACGACAGGTTGTGTCTCGAAGAGAAAGGATCTTATAAATTTCACTTAGTGGGGCCTACTGTGGGAGACTACGTAATAAAGTATACAATCGTTAATGAGCAATGAGCACACACAAGAAAAGATACCGTTAAATTTTCCTTTAGATGGATTCAAAATTTATCACGTTTCACGTGAAATACACAAAAGTTAAAAGTTCAAGACAGGTCGGAATAAGTGGAGGAAAGAATGGTGTAAATGTTGTTTGTGTGTTTTTTGACCTATGGAGGTAGAAACAAACCGCAGAAGGAAGGGGGCGATCTCTCGGTGTTTCCTGTCTGTTTCTGGAGTCAGGAAAACTCCAAAAGTATGCAAGCTCCTGTAGGGCTGATGGAGTTGGATGTGGTCACACACGCTCTTCTTGCGCCAATGAAGATGGTGTGAAGATGGAATGAATTTGGTTGTCCACTAGTATTGTGTTGCTGCGCATGGAAAAATCCTGATGTGTCCACTTAAGATGAACTCAGATCTACGCTGAGCAATTCACTATCTTGACTCTGCTTGGCGTAGAAAATCCCTGAGCTGCACGATTGGGATGAACTCAATTGTACGCTAAGTGATTTGCCACATCTATGGTGGTTGGTAAAAATAGCATGAACTCTTCATGAGCGCAGTTGCCCCCCTGGAGGGTCAAGCCACAGGCAGGTTGGACAACAGGCAGCAAACCGTGGGAAGAGAACGGGCGCCGGTGATAGACCGAATTTATCTGAATATAATTATTTATCTGAATAGTTGCAGACGATTTGACGTAACGAAAAGAGTCCACTGAGACTACAGGTCAGTCACTGCGATAGAGAATGGTCCCGTGAAGCTGCTGTCTCAAAGACGGCTTCTGGAAAGTCAGGCGAATTGGCAGGGTACCACTTCGAACAAATTCAGGCTGATAGTTTTCGTGGAAATAATTCAGACGAGTTGACTTCAACGAGGAGAATCGAGCTGTCAATTCAGACTAGAGCCAGTCGTAGTGTCAGAGGGTAGTCCTGTAGAGTTGCTTCCTTGTAGACGAATCTTGGAGAATCAACTGGACGATGGGCAGGGTACGACTATTGAAGATTTCAAGGCGAAGATAATAATTGAACTAACTTGATTTGGCGCAAAAACGCTTTATATACTGTTTAGGGGCGACGCCTCTACGACCGTTAACGTTTTGATATTTCTTCATCGAACGTTTTTCAAGATGTGGTGGAAAGTATCTTCATATGTTTAGCAATGTATTCAGAAGGGATGTTTCTGGAGGGAGTATCTTCACCTCGGTGATATCTCCCATTTCCCCAGGTGCAGGAGCAGTTTGTCCCCCCACGCGGCTTGGGACTCTTCTTCTTCGATTCTCGCCGTAAGGGTTTGAGTGCTATTTAGAGACGAACCCCCCCAATGAACAGATTCTGCAATTGGTGTTATGCCAATGCTCCCGACGGCCCCCACCAAGCCTTCGGGGATTTGGGGATGCGGAGGCAGCGAATTTGCGACTAAGGACATGAAAGAGCTAAAGCTCCATGTCGCCAAATAACACCCGAAGATTAGGGTGGATGACAATGGAGTGCTGGTTGGCGGACTACCGATTGACGCCTCTGAGAGCAACAGGTAAAGTCCATCTTTCTCTGGACCCGGCGATTGCATGGCGGCGGCCTCGGCGGCTGACAAATCCACCCTGAGTCCCGTTCCACGATCAAGGATTACGACAACGGCATCATCTACGGGAGCTCGGACGCTCAGGCCATCACGAACTGCCCCACCTCCCTCGACCTCTAGCATAACCGTGGCTAGCAATAACAGAGGGGCGACTCTTCGCAGTGGAACAACATGACGGACCTTAACAACGAAGCGAGGAGATGACGCCAATAACAACACTTCGGCCAACGTACGAAACTCAATTATATCGAGCACGTTGAAAGAATCGATTCTGTACAACTCGAACTCGATGACGTCAGAGTACGAGGCCGACAACAGGACTCTGCCTGGTAGTGGCACGACACGTAATACCTCTCTGAGTGTAATTAGTCCGGACTCGGCAAAAAATGCCCCAATCATTGTCAGCAATCAGACGATGAATGAGAGTCTCCGCCGCGAACTAGTGGAGGCCATTGAATACTCCCGGTACTCCAGAGATCGCAGCTATCTCGCCAGATATCGAGGTGGCCACCTCCATGTGTGCGACCATGACGACGGAGACCGTCACACACGGCAGTTTCTTTGTCTTCGGCCAATCGTGTCATCAGCGCTCTGCGTAGGGAGCAACTCCACACTGAGTCCGGAACAGGGGAAAGAGGACGAGCCAATCGACATCGATAGGACACCCCCTACGCAGACACTGTGCGTGGTCGCTACATCGAATAAGAAACATGAGGCCACAAGTATGACCAGTGATCGCTTCACGGTACCAATCTCGCCAACAGTCAACATTATTGAGTACATGGAGCCCATCCCAGAGCCCACTAGATCCGATGGCGGTGCACAAGTCGAGTCCACCCCGCTGGAGGAGCCCTGGACACTGGTTCGACAGAGACCGCGCAGAGGGAGACCAACAGGATGCATATCTGAATGTGAAAGCGAAACTGGGAGTGCTAGAGTGAGAGCTAACAACTTGGGAAAATCCGTCCGTAGGAGGGTCAGGAGAAAAACTGGCCACCCACCCTCGACGACAGTGCCGCGCCTCCACAGCTGGCCCGGACTCAGCATTCGGGTGGATTTGTTAATCGGCCGCCTAAGCCGCCGGCATGCAATAATATTCCTACTGGTAACCTCAATAACAGTAAAGGAAAGAAAAATAATAATTCTAATTATAAATCTAGACGTAACAGACACGGTGCTAGGATGGCTGCTGCTCGGTGTGAGTTGGTTGCGGCCTTCGGTGGTAGTGAAAATATAAATAGACACAAAAACAAACTCATCGACAAGGCCAAGTCAGCTGTGAATATGAACAATTTAAATATCCTGGCCACTGACCTCGCCCCAATATTTACGAGTTCTACCACGAATAAATCCGGGAGAAATCGATATAATGACTTTAACATGCCTCACCGCGCTCGGGAAAATTTAAATGTCCAGCGTAATAACAATAACGGTGCAATAATGCTGCTAAAATTCAACGACTTTTCGAAGAAAAAAGGCCTAAAGCAATGCAAGAAATCCTAGCAGGTCCGTCGCCATACTGCGAAATCAGTAAGGACGATATTTTTCAACACTTCACATCGATGCATAATCACACGAGCGAAAGCGGGACTCGCCCATATAACTGGCCTAACTTGTCGAGTGACAGGGTGGAGGCGATTCGAGGGGCTCTCTTTAAACCCTTCACGAGTGCACAAGTCAACGCCCAATTGAGGAAAACCCATAACACCGCACCAGGGCCGAATGGCATAACCTACACGGATATTAAACGGTTCCACCCCGGCGCGAAATTGACTACGGCCGTTTTCAATGCATGCCTCCGATTAAAAAAGATCGCCGACTCGTGGAAAACGTCAAATACCGCACTTATTCATAAAAAAGGCGACAGGACTGACATCGACAACTGGCGTCCTCTGGCTATGGGCGATACATTCCCCAAACTTTTTGCAGCGGTGATAGTCGCCCTCAGACGAGTTTTCTGTGACATGAAGGCTGTCACGAGCAGAATTTCGCTCTCCGGGAGATTCTAAAGGATAGCAAACGATCGGGGCGCAATGTAATTCTCGGGTGGCTAGACCTGTTCAATGCTTTTGCCTCAATTCCCCACGCCGTTATTTTTGATGCGTTAAGGGGAATGAACATTCCTGGCGAGTTCACTGACCTCGTTATCAATATGAGCACGGGCGCGACCACTCGAGTTAGGACGACAGAGGGCTACACTGACTCCATTCCTCTGAAGGCTGGAGTGAAACAGAGATGCCCGGCGAGCCCGGTCGAACACGACGGAGGAAATGCGGGAGATGCTGCGTATCGTACCGAGCAGGCCTGAGGTTCAACGCGGCAAAATGCGCTACCTTTCACCTTACCGGTAAAGGGACGTAGGGTTTCCCTACAGCCTTCAAACTGCCCAGTAGAGCTGTGAGAGCGGTGGACGACGGGGGGCATATGATGGGCACATTCTAAGGGGAGGGGCCGTCAATAAGGCCCCAATGAACCTGCTAGACAGAAAAATTTCTAAAATGGTGAAAGGGTAGTTACACCTCTCACAGCATGCGAGCGCCGAGATGGTTCACCTGCTTTTCTGGAGGGATGGGTCCAGCATCATCCCGACAACGGACCTGACCGATATCCTTAAGATCTCCCATGCCTTCCGGATGTTATCTTGTAAGGATGGGATTATCGCGGAGGCTACCAGGGGATCGCTGTGGGATGCTGCACGCCGTAGGACGGGCCACGATCCGTCACCGGAGGAGTCGTTTTTTGCAGGCTCGCGAGGGGCCCCCGTCCGGACAAACTTCAGCGTTGACCCAGGATTCTGGGTGACAGTGAGAGCCGCCACTCAGAGACAGTCCCACTGATTACAAGCTAGTTGGCACCTAGGGCCTAACAATGATCTCGAAATCAAATACAGGGGAAAGAAGAGACGACTTGTCATTATCAGGCGTGAGTAATGCGTTCGTAAGAGATGGGAAATTTATGCCATTGGCGGATTGGCGGTTTATCCATAGGGTCAGGCTTGGGATGCTGCCACTCAACGGCGCCATAAGATGGACGAATGGGGATAAGCGCTATAGACTGTGTGGCTACTCCAGTGTGCTGCCTGCCGCACTCATACAAACATTCGATAAAAAGCGAATTAATTGTCTTTAAGGCAAATACTCTCGACCAATATTTATATCTGGGAATTAGGAACACTTAGGAGCTACGTTTATCTCCTGGAGTGTACAACGATCTTGATGTCCGCGCCTTAGTACTGCAATGTGACAAAAGGGCAACTGTGGCTAATCCTCATGAAAATTGTCCATCCTGATTATGAATGTTATTCTTTTGTAGTTGCCCTCTACTACCGAGACTCGAAGCCAAGAGATGTTACTGATTTCCTGCGAAATTTTGTCAAAGAATCCATCAAGCTGATTCATCATGGGATCACAGTAGGTCAGATTAATTATCGGTCTGAAATTGCAGGCATCACGGCAGATAGCCCAGCCAGAGCTAGGTTAAAACGTATCAAAGGGTCAACAGGATTTTCATCTTGTTAACGACGGACTATCCCAGGCATTACTGAGGAAAAGCGCAGAGTATGTGCAGAGAACACTTACCCAAAACGTATCATAAATACTTTCATCGCCAAAGCTGATCAACAATATCATTTGAAGAATCATACGTAAATTGTTCTAGAAATACCTGATTTTGATCCAGTCCGAAACGTTTCTCAACAAACAATGCATTTATTTTTGAACATTGTCAAGACGTCAATGTCAAAATGGTTAGACAGGAACAGCCGATATAGAGTCCCAATGAGGAAATTTCGGTTTTTGAAGTCATTACTACGGAGTATAACATCATGTATCCCAATCGAATTTAAAAGAAAAGAATTTGACGCAGAACGACATGGCCGTTGGGAAGCCACTAAAAAAATCAGTGGAATTACTCGCCAGCCAATAGATGTATTTACGTGGTCAAAAATGGGTATGTCGTTATCCACCGAAAAAAGATTAGAAACGAGTACAGGAATGGGCCAAGAAAGGCAACAGGCCTCAGAAAGATTGGGAGGAATACACAGACTTGGTCGTTCTTGCATGGACAAAATTTTTCACTCATTACACGATCTTTCATGCACAAATTTGTTAAGTGATTAAGTGGATTTTTTTTTCTTTCTTAAAACCTTGGAAAATTTCGAGTGCGGACTACATCTACTGGAAAGATCACATGTTCAACAACAAAATCTCATATTAGAAGAATCCGAGCTGGAGAAAAGAAGCAGCGTTCCTGCTACGTCCAGGAAACGAGCAGAAATGTTATTAAAAAATTCCAAATATTCTCCTATTATGGGAAACGATGAGCATAATAAAGATGATGAAGAGAACGACAGTGATTCTTTACAGGAGAATAGGAAGCGGAAGCGTTCTAAAAGTTCTGGCTCTTCTGGCTTATAGCCGTTTTACAGAGATTTTATCATCTTGTAGTTTGCATTTCGGAAATAGCATGGACGATGACCCATCAAAGTTTTCACTTTCGGCTGTAGTCTTCTCTCATTGAATTTCCGCAGCAGAACGGATTTTTTCTGATATTTCGTTATTGCAGATGTGGAAACAGTTATTATCGGTGCTAATTTACTTGCGCGTTTTAAACCTCTCCCGGATGTGAAGAATGATCGTTTATTTGATTCAACAACGGTATTATCAGTAGCATGTCGTTACAGCGATTACAATTTTTTCGATAAATTTATCCTAGACTGAACTTCTTGTAAAATTTCTGTCAGTAACTAACACAGGTGGAATATATCAATCAACTGAACTCAAAAAGATCCATTATATTGTAACTGTATTGGGACCACCGATATTGAGCAAGGCTCATCGCCTCGCGTCACATAAGTTAGCTACCGCGAAGTAGGAATTAAAAAATTAAAATTACTTTAACTTGAAATTTTGACTTTTTCCTGCATTTCCAACATTAAACGAACATAAATAGACAAACTGAATGTTTGTCAATTAGTCGATTGATAGATTGTCAAGTGAGATTCTCCGAAAATTTGAAACCGCAAATAATGCGGAATAATGGTTCATAATCATGAAAATATGCGTCATCAACTGAGCTTATAATTCTAATGGGATGTGCTTCAATGATGTTTTGTATACTAAATTTATTACATTGATTCATTACATTGTACACTTTTAAAAATAATTTTGAAAAAATTCAAACCCCTGTAAAGCATATTTTTGTCATGTGTATCAAAAAAATTCGACGTGAAATGCGTTAGAAGAGGTGAAACATTTGAAAAGCTACTGATGATTTTTTATAAAACTTCCAATAAAATTCTTTTCAATAGTTTCAAATACAGTCTTGTGATTAGCTAAAAACCGATTTTGAAAAATAACCGATGACATTCTCCCTCGCAGCCTCAACTAGCGCACCCTGATTGGTTCCAATCAGACTGAGGAAAATGATCGCGAGAATTAGTTTATACGGACAAAGTTCTATAGTTGCTCACCTTCGTAAGTGGCCGCTGCCTGCATGGGAAGCGTTGTCCCATTATCAGAATTTCCCTTTAAGCCCGTTCTCTCTAACCTCGTTCGGTCTCTATCTCCAATCCGTGAGGATCCTGCACAATAGTATTTCGCGCCACCATTGCTCCATACTCATCTCTTACTGAGTCAGCGTACTCACTCTTTCCTTTCATAAGTGCAAACTCTAAGAATCCAAAACTCCGAAGGCGTAAGTTTATAGAAGTTCCAGTGCATAACATGCGACTTTTAGAAATCCCAACAATTCTGAAAAAATTAAAAATTTCTGAAACATTACAAAACGACGTAGACGTTTCTTCTTCAGTTGAAAATGGAAATAAATTTCATGTACAGATAGCATTTCGACGAATAATACATTAACACTTTAGACATTCTTATAACATGTGGAGGAAAAAATTCTGTTCGAAACAAGCAGTTGACCGACTCTATTTTCTAGGAGAGGTAGTTTAATTCTCATTTTTCATTTCCACCAATATCATTGGTAGCAAGCTTCCGAATGCATTCATAGCTATTTCGACAACAATTTTTTTGGAATAAAAAGAAAAATGATATTATCTCCTAAACGAATCATCTGCTTCAGCCCATTTCTTTTTAGCCACTCCAGTCTTAGCTTTCTTAGCTCGCAACGCATGTTCTATTGTGTTATGGTGTTTACTGAAACCTGGTTATCTCCTACCATACCCAATTCTACCCCAAACATTGCCCACGATAATCTGCTGATATGTGATGGCAACGATCAGGGTGGAGGCATGGCCATCGCTTACTATAATACTGTGAAGGCCTTTGCTGCTTTTGGTCATGTAGGCAATATCTTCTAAGAGGTCCAGCTTGTGGGTTCAACGGCAGTCCTTGCTGCCGCCATCTATCGACCGCATCATGCTGTCTTCAATAAGCCGTCGAATTTCACTGAATGTGTATCCACAGCTTTGGATTGATATCGGACCAAAGTTTGTAAATTTTAAGGCCGACCAGCTTTATGATTCCAGCTCTGATGCTCAATATGTCTCAATGTTGGTGCGTCATCTTTGGCATCAGTTAATGAACCAGTTGGTGGCTCTCATTCTACAGTAACGTCCTCCACCTGGCTCGATCTCTGCTTGCTCGAGAAGAATAACACCATCATTGAAAACTCTCCTTCACATTGCGTCATTGCTACCGGCCAACACCTGTCACATAACCCCTGTCACATATCACCTGATCCCTGTTTTTGTGTTTATGAATGGCCATGGAGTTGGTTTGCTTTACATTAACACAGAAATTGAGTAGATGGTGATTAGTATGTACAGTTTCGGCAGGAAGCTAAAAGAAAAGAGGGACGCACCGTACACCGTGAGGGAGGTGGAACGCCAGAGAAAGAAGCCAAGATCGGACGACTCATCACCTTTCTCTATGTGCTTACTAACTCATAAGGAAGACTAGGTAGGTAGCTGCCGTCGATTCCGAGGGCATATGTTCCAGAAAGTTACAATCTATAACATACGACTTTTTTCTCATCTGCTGATCCGTTGTTTAAAAGGTTGGAACATTCTTCTAAAGTTAACCCCCTCGGAGGGTGATGTTTCCGTTTCGCATATAACAAGAAGGTTTGGGTAACTGATAGTAGTAGGAATAAATACGTGGTCAAAAGTCATGAAAAATACACTACAAGTATTACTAGATATGGGTTTTTCTTGGACTAACTGCCGTTCGTCATTTGATCATCACGGACTTATCACGATTTATACCAATACTAGAGGTTTTGCGCTACGACAATTAACCGGCCATTTGACGAAGGTGGAACGTTGAGCAAGCGCTATGGCTCAAAGACAACCTTGTGCTGTCGTACCGATGTGTGCAGTACTTGTACTAGCACTTCGTGTGGAGCGGAATACCACCGCGGCTTTTAAATTCCAGATTAATCAAACGTTTCCACCTCTCTGAGCTCACTGAGGCTCGTACCAGATACTCCTACATTCGGCTTTCTGACCTTTCAGGTAGACATCGTCGGGAAGAGCTTCGTCATCTCGGCCTAATCCTTGATTCTCGTCCGTGCCCTGTTATCACTGCTAATGGCTTTAACTCTCATATTGTGCCTCTCCACTGTGATGTTAGATGACTTGCCTGACTCCGAAATAAATTAGTCAGAGGTCCCTCCTTTCATTATTGCTGGCAGATCTCTTTTCTGACCCTCTGTTCTTTTTTTCTAAGTCAGTTAGCTAAGCGTTAATGATCCCATCTCTTCTATCTCATCTGCTTCCATTGGTGGTGATAGCATATCTAGGGAGATGATCGTGAACACCTTGTCAGCTCTACCCAATACTCTGCTTTTGATCATAAATCACTCCTTTGTAACTGGCATTTTCACTGGCGCTTGAAAGAAGGTTACTATTTTCTAACATACTATCGACTACCTACACTTAATTGTATGCTGCCCTTCCTGGCGACGATCCTGGAAAAGCTGGTGCACAATCAGCTGTCCTCGTTCCTTCATAGGCTTTTTCATAGACGTTGCTTTCTTTAAACTCGGCACTACTGTTTCAGACCTGCCTAGAGCACTCAGACGGGGTTGTTGTGATTTGTTAGCAATCTTAGGAGGAGCGTTGAAGATAGAACTGTCACCATATTGGCTTACTTGGATTTACTCAAGGACTTTGACACAGGCCCCCATACCATATTCCTAGTTAAACTCACAAGACTGGGCCCATCATCTGGTGTTGCCTGAGTCAGTTCATACCTCACCGGCCGATCTTCAACAGTGAGAGGTGAACATGGCGAACATTGTTCGCAAGCAATGCTGAAGTGCCAGAAGGATCAATCTTCAGCCTTCCGTTTTTTCATGTTCAAAAAAAAATTAGTAGCTCGGTCCTTGAGGTAAGTCGTCTCCTTTATGCTGATGACCTTCAGATTCTGCAATCTGTCCCACCTAAGTTTCTCCAGGATCCACGTGTAGGTCACTGTAAATCGTCAACTATAAATCGTCCAACTGAATGCCAGCAAGAAGCGTAGACCGATTGTGCCGAAAGTTGTGCGTAAAATTTGTATAAGATGATGTAAAGTATTCGTAGTTTTTTTTTCATGGAACTGTCACGATCACAGGAAGTATTGTATACCATGCCGAACTTTTGACAGCGTACCTCTGCGACAGAGCACGCCGACACGTTCTCACTCAGTAAGCTCTTGTAGTACGTAACTTCAGAACAGACTTGTGGCATAGCATCCCCTTAACGTGACAACTGCGATCATAGCTGGCAACTAAGGAAGAGACGTGCTGACTGGGTACTTTGTATCCTGCGCCTGGCCATTTCTCTATATTTCTCGATTTGTTTCTTTACTTCTCCTGTGTACATAAATGTTCGACATATATTCTGCTCTCGTTTGGTCTGAATCTTTCAGTGTCCGAGAGACTTGCGTCTACGTCTATCAAAGAGTCTTACTATGCACCAGTTGCCGTACGTTCAAGAGACGCTTTGGAAAGATCTTCCGAGACTATTCATAGACTCCTGCCAAGCGTCTCCTGCGGATGACTGACTCCTGCGAAAGATTGGTTAACTTAATTGTTAATTATTTCTCCAATTTAATTGGTGGAGAATAATTAATGTTAACAATGCTCCACATTCATGATTCTCTTGATGATCAAAAGAAAACCAATTTGTTTTAACAGCTTGGTGTTGGCTATTGGACAGGCATCTGATTTAGAACCTGACTCGATTATGCCTAGCTTCCATGATCGCTGAAAGTCTTGAAATTATTTAGTCCCTATCCTCGCTTCTGTTCAGGACGGTATATGTCAGGAATTAATTTTCGAGGGAGAGAAAAGAGGGAAATAATTGAAAGAGCGCGGTATTATAGAATGGAAGATCTCAACATATAATCAAGAAGGGGTAAGATACAAAAACTACCCGAGAAAAAGCACTGCTCTTAGAACTATGCTCTTAAAAATTAAAATATACTAGTCCATTTTTTGACTGAAAATAGAGCCATAGGAATTGTAACGTGTGCAGAATGGCAGTTATTAGATCATTCTGCATATTAAATAATACGGGAAATTGAAAACTGCACAATACACAGGTCTCAAATTCCTATTCATATTGGTGATTTTTCTGAAATAACGGAAAACCACTGTAAAAATGTCAAACATCTCCACTGTGAATCATTTTTTGGGCCATTAAAGAGAGATTTTATCCTACAACAAATTCACCAAAATATCGTGCCCCGACTGATATTCCTACAAATTTCTTGCAAGCCTGAAGATCATTAAAAAAATAATTTGCATCGGCTCAACGTGTCTTATGGAAAACTTATCATTTCAATAATGAAGCATCTTACAGTCGTAATATTTTTATAGACTTCATTCTAACCTCGTGACTTCCAGCGCCAGTCGCCTTTAATCAGCAATTAGAAAAACTTTGTTCATTCTTTATTTATTAACTCTATTCGCAAAAGATGATGCACTTAAAATATATATTTTAATTATTCTATAGCAGAACAAAAAATACAAGAACTATATTAAAGTGTGTGCATACTTTCATCAGGATGGAACGATATGGGTTGGAGTCATGTTGGATTTGAATCAAGAAACAAGAAGATTATATAACGGCCAATCACATCAATACATAATGGACGCCTTTATTGTTAATGCAGAAAAGTGTTGCCTCAAGAACTAAGTAACGAGAATGATTTGCTAGAATAGATCAATCCTCGACGGAATCTGGTCTAAAATATACACGATCATAATCTTCAGCGTTCTTAAAAAACATAATAATTAATTACGATAATTTGTCTAATTATATATTTAATCGCTGACTGTCTATGGCAGGGCTACTCTGAGGGCGAATCGTGCTCCCAACCTTTAGTAGTGCGTACCGAAGGGTAGATGAGAGTCCATTGTATCAGGTGATGGGCCTTTACGACCCAAGTTGTGCAGGCCCTTCTCCTCCATTAAAATCAACCCATGCGGGGTGACGCTAAAGAAACGAAAAAGCGGAAAAATGACTCGAAGTTGAAAACCGTAAATTTTTTTTCGCCATGGCATTATTTATTTTGAAAACTGACGTTAAAAATAAAAATCGAAAAAACCTTCTAAATTCCGAGGCCAGGAAAAAATTAGAGAATGTCATGCTACAGCATTCCCATTTGTTCATGCCTTATATATGGCAGAGATCTGATGAGATAATTGAAGAGGTGGAGTAAGCATAAAAAACGAAAGGCATAGGTGCCACCATGCTGAGAACAACCAAGGTTTTTCAGAAGTACAGCTTTACTTCTAT